AACATCACACAACCGCTAACCTGCCCACAGGAGATAAACCACTTGTGGAATTCCATGCTGACATCTTCCAACGGCGCTGCACTGGTTACAACTACCACGAAATCAGTAAACCCTTCTGAGCCCATGCTCGCCCACCAACTGTATAAGTCTGTTCCTTCCCCATTGACATCAACTGAAAGTCAACAATACCTTCCGAACTCAAGTCATATTGCATCCGAAACGATAATCAAATCTTCACACCCCTCTACATTTCAAGCAAACTCTTTCTTGCCATATTCAATCTTTCTCCGTATAGTAACCATCATTCCCAAATAAAATCCGTAGATCAAATCACCCTCCATCGCGATTCCCAAACTGTTCTACACCTTCTCAAGGCACGCGGCTATCCTTCCACAGAATCCATATGTTAATCTGCCACTCTTACTTCGGTTGAAAAAATCTTCTTTAAGCAACTTCTCAACCTACGCTTCTCATACTTAACCTGCTAGTACTTCAACCACCACGAAACACTTCCCGCCATGTCCTTCCTCATACTTCACTGCCCAAATGTTGCATCAAATCAAAAATCCATCTCTGTAGCACCTGAACCAATAAAATGTTACTGACTCTAAGCCTCTTCGAAGATCATCTTTCGCGAGTCATCAACATTAAAAATACCAATTCGATTCTGAACCGATGTGCACCTCTATCTCTGGCAACCGCCCCTCAGGAACCATCTCACAACACTCTACCCCGAAGGCAAAATCCAAGAAGACCATAACACCAGCGAACCGTAATGCGTTCAAACAAGGACGGCGACACCATATCACAATTAAAATTCCACCACGCTCGAAAATACAAAGTCTCGTTACTCCATCGACCAAAACCTAAACATCCATAGTCTGATTGCATTTCCTTTGTTGGAATTAAATGTTGAACCTCTAAATCATACCCTGAGAAATCCTCTCTTCAAGCCATTCACTGCCCCAACACATAAACGAGCACCTTACCATTATACCAACATTGTGCAATAACAACTCATGAACAACATAACAACTCGTCCATAGCCTCAAAACCATAGGAAGTACAGATACTGAACTGAAACGATAGAACATCCTTCCGCAAGGCAACGATAATATCCTGCTCGAACACGTAGGGAAAATATCCTGCACCACGTTTGCAGTACCACTACAACTCCTCGACGCCCAATTGATAACAAGCACTTCGCATCGCATAAGATTCAGTAGGAAGGAAATAAAGGCACAAGCCTCAAAGGAATCAAATCGCACGATGAGGAAATCAAGAAGAGAAGTGCTCCTAACATCCCTGTAGCCTCTCGAAGATAAGTACAGACGTCTTTGTACCCATATGTAAGACTCTACTAGACTTGCTCATTACTCACGAGACCTAAGTGAACCTAGAGCTCTGATACCAAGTTGTCACGACCGAAAATCTAATATAGGTCGTGATGGTACCTAACGCCGCCGTCAGGCAAGCCAACAGTGATTTACCACTTTACTTACTCATTTTAGTATCTTGAAATCATAATTTTTCCTTAATTGTACAATATAAAATATAATTTACAGAGTGAATTAAAATATGTACACGAAACTCAATAATGATAACCCGAAGGAACCCCCAAAACCCTGTGTCACGAGTGCATGAGCATTTTTTTAAATAGTACAATAATATTACAACATCTGTCCCGAATGTAATAAGACAGAATAAAATAAGTAGTACAATGGAGACTTGGTGGACTGCGATGCGTAGCCTAGAATGAAACTCACATGAAGTCTCCCACAAAGGTGCGCCTACGCACCAAGGTGGTCATCAATGAACCTGTCAGATCCTGCACATTTAGTGCAGAAGTGCATCATGAGCACGTAAATCAATGCGTACCCAGTAAGTATCTAGCCTAACCCTGGAGAAGTAGTGACGAGGGGTCGACATCGACACTTACTATAGGTTCAGGCAGATAATATAATAATCCATGACATGTATGAAGTGCACAACAATAGTGAAGTAAATCTGTAAATCTCAAAAGTTTCCAATTATTTCCTTTAAAGTACGAATTTCTAAATCTTGTATTCTACCTTAATATCTCAAACAATTTTCAAGTTTCATAATCAAATAAATCTAGAGTACCAGATAAAATGTCAGGCATCAGTAGAGAGGTTAACTCGTGAATATTCGGGTTGCAAGCGATATAACGCACGATTCTACCGAGGTCGTTCGGCCCGATCCGGAATAATATATAAATTATCGAGGGTCGAGCGGCACGAACCATAGATGCATCTATCTACTGTCGAGGCGTTCGGCCCGCTCCACAAGAAAAGGAAGAAAGTTATCGAATTACGAGACACGTGTTTACAATACAGTGCATGAGTACAAAATGGATATAATCTTTATCGTTTCTCAAATAACTCACCCACAACTCAAAGTGTTAAGGCTTGGCCTAGTATACATATAATTATTTCTAAATTAATTTCATTTATAACTTCGATTAATTAATATCAGCAACATGAGTTCAAATAATTCAAATATTACAGGATACGATCCTAAGTCTACTCGGACATAAATATGTTGTAGCTACGTACAGACTCTTGTCACCTCGTGCGTACGTAGCACCCACAACTAGTTGCACATAACAATAAATATCACATAGGGGTAGTTTCTCCCTCACAAGATTAGACGGGAGACTTACCTCACTTCGAAGTTCCAAAACCGGCTCCAAGGCCTCTCTAACACCTCAATCCAAAGCCCATCGATCTAAAACTATTCAAACAATGTGCAAACTAATCAAAAGATACTCTAATACCCATAATTAATCAATTTAAATAATTCCCAACTCTGCTCGAAAAGTTCATAAAATCAACCCTCGGGCCCACATGCCCGGATTTCTAAAATTTTCGAAGATAAACTTTACCCATAACACCACGAACTAAAATATATAACTTATTTCAAATTCCATGTCCAATTTCGTGGTCAAATTTCAAAAATACCAAATTCTAGATTTTCTACCAAAAACCCTCCACAATTTCTACTAATTTTCATGTTTAAATCCTTATACAAACCATGTATTTAACTTGTAATAGATGGGAATCACTTACCTTATGTTGCTTGATGAAAATCTCCCCTTCAAGCTCTCCAAAATCGCCCCAACCAAGTGAGAAAATGAGGAAAATGAGCAAAACCCTGATTTTAAAACAATTTGCCCACCGACTTTCCGCATGTGCGGAACACCAGCCGCACCTGCGGAACACCAGCTGCACCTGCGGCTCCGCACTTGCGGAATTTCCATCACAGGTGCGGTTCTAACTTAGTCGAGGCACGTCCGCATCTGCGGACCCAAAAGGCGTATTTGCGCTTCCGCTTCTGCGGCCAATGTGCGCTTCTGCGCACACGCTACTGCGAACCATGTCTGCTTCTGCGATCAACAACCCTCTCAGGACTTTCCACTTCTGTGCTCCTTCCTCCGCAGAAGCGACTCCGCTTCTACGGTTGATCCGCCGCAGGTGCGACTTCGCTTCTGCGGTCCACCTGCTCGCTTCTGCGACCCCAACCCCAATCATGCCTGGCCGCTTCTGCGACCCTCTTGGCCGCTTCTGCGGCTCCGCACCTGCGACCAAAACCTCGCAGGTGCGGTTACACCAGATATGCTGCCACCAGCATTTTTATAAGGCCAAATTCAATCCGTTAACCATCCGGAAACCACCCGAGGCCCTCGGGACCTCGACCAAATATACCAACCAATCCTAAAATATCAAACGAACTTAGTCGAGCCTTTAAATCACACCAAACAACATCAAAACTACTATCGACGATCAAAACCCTTCTTTAAGCTTTCAAACCTTTAAACTTCGACGAACGCGTCCGAACCATATCAAAACATCCCGGAATGACGCAAAACTTTACGTGCAAGTCATAATACCTGAAGTAAAGCTATTCAAGACCTCAAACCGCCGAACGACGCGCTAGAGTTCAAAACGACCAGTAGGGTCGTTACATAAATAGTGGGAAAGGGCCGGACTCTTTGGGTTTATATGTGTTTAATAATTTTTAAGTGTACAAATTAGCTTTTCGAATTCCTTTCATTAATAATAATAATAATAATAATAATAATAATAATAATAATAATAATAATAATAAGTTTATATTCTTTGTTTAGTTTAGTAAAGATAGATTAAAAGAAAATATAAGGTAAGACTAGTTTATTTCTTTAGTTAGAAGATCTGGAGTAATTTCAAGAAATTAAAATATAACGGTTATGACTGACTAGTCTATTTTTTGGATGTGTAGAAATTTGACTTTCCAGTCATTGTATATTTTGAATAACTTGCGTGTAGTTTATAAGTATTTTTTGTCACTATACTATATATTAATATGAGCGAATTAAGTTCAATAATAATATGTGAAATTAACCTGAATATCCTTTTATTCCTTGCCATTTTTTTTTTATCAGCCTTTAAGCAATTTGATGAGATTGCTTAAATCCTCAGTTTCGGTAATTTATTTATAACCACAAAATTTTCCAAATCCAAGAAAGGAGAATTAACATGCACAAACTAGTGAAGAAGAATGAAATTCACTAGTGGAGACTAGAGAGTTACTAACTTATATTAAAAGTCTGTTTCAACATTCTTCTTCTTTTTTTTATATTGATTCATCAATAATAAATAATAATTAAAAAGTACGTATCAGGAAAACTTGCACGTGTGAATTCTGACTAAAACCCCTTTACATTCCAAAAATATATTTACTAGGTAGTAATATGTAGGTATCGAATTCGAGTAATCTGTTATCAGGCCTCCCAACTTTGTAGAAAATTGTCAAAAAGAAACTGAGAAACGTGACGTGTTTTAATAATGGTGATCGCAAGAAGAGGGCAATGGGTAACTACCCGAACAGACGTCACGCTTCGTTCGCCGCGCGAGGACATCTCTGTAATTTTGATATCCTTCGAAATCCCATAAATGTAGCTTAAAGAGTGACAACGTCCCGCTTTAACAGAAAGGCTCGTAATCACCCGTGCATAGAGAGAAATAAAAGCTGGCGAATAGGGCTACAAAATCGTGTAAAACTTTTCCTGCTTCACACACACACACATTGCTGCTATTGAACATGCATAGCTGTGTAAGAACAAAAGCGTTACGTCTAGATAATCGTAATAGAAACAGGGGAGATCACTCGAATTCTGCATAAAACTACTTCTGTTTGTAACTTGATCATTATTGGATTTGTTTTGTAATGGCGGCGTCGAATGGGAGTGAGTACTTTGAGTTAGATGTGGAGGCACAGGAGAGTTTCGGCCGGCGGTCGAATGCGGAGTCGGTGGCGGAAGACGAACAGGAGCTGATGTGGGCGGCGTTAGAGAAATTGCCGACGCGGAAGCGAACGAATCTCGCTTTGGTGAAGCGGACAGCGGAGGAATCTGACGACAGCGTGGGAGAGAGGACTGACACTGTCGATGTGAGAAAACTTGATCGGAATACTCGCCAGCTTGTCGTCGATAGAGCAATGGCCACTTCCGAACAGGATAACTACAAGTTGCTTTCCGGCGTTAAAGAGCGCCTCGATAGGTATTTTCAACTGATACATCCATTTCTCTCTTTCCTTTCTAGCGACTGATTACTATACGACAACGTACAATCTCTTAATGCGTATATAAGTTATTTCTGCATGAATCTGATACATCCGTTAACTGCATTTTTTATCATATACCTCAATCGAGCTTTACTACAATTTACTTTAGAAATTAAAGTTGAATGTAAAGTATTGTTAAGTTACAATGCTTTTATAATATTATTAGATCACATAAATTAAAAAAGAAGCATAAAGATTTCTACAATTTTATACTATGTGCATCTAACTAGAGGAAGATTCATCATCACTCGAAATAAAATATATGTCGAATTTCAAATTTTAATCTATTATTTCAGCATCTAATCAACTATCAAAAAATGCGCACACTATATAACAATCAATATTCATATTAAGAACTGAAGACAAATTTGATTTTAAGCACATGCTACTTTAAATTAAAACTTAAATTAGAATGCACTTGAATTAAATACAGAACAATAAATTGAACTTGTAGAGCCAATAAATTGAGAAAAAATAAAATAAAATTGATAAACAATAAAATTTGAAATCGTTAAGTGGCTGGTTCTTTGTCCGCCTAGTGCCAATATATCTGATGAGAACTGTGGAAAATATTTAGGATAATGTCCCCAAAATAGGCGAAAGGAAAGCCATTATATTGAGTTTTTAGATACTATTATCAACTCGTAGATGGCATAATCTTGAGAAATTAGTTAACGAAACGGTAATGATAGGCTATTATTCTTTTTGCTAACTTTCATAACTTGCAATATTAATATTTATAGCTTATTAATAACGGCTTTAAATTTTCATTCTGGAAAAAGTGTGGGATTGGAGGTTCCTAAAGTTGAAGTTCGATACGAGGACATAACAATCACAGCAAATGTGAATGTTGGCTCCAGAGCTTTGCCTACTTTAATGAATTCTGTCCGCGATGTCTTTGAGGTAAAACATTTAATCCTGCTACTAATTCTCTCTGTTAGTCTTCTACCTTAGACTAATAAAGCATATGATAGTTTCTCTATGTGTATTTTGTAAATTTCAGAATATATTCACTCGACTGAAGATATTCCGCCCTAAGAAACACTCTCTAACCATTTTGAATAACATCAATGGTGTTGTAAAACCTGGAAGGTAAGCTTTGACTTCTTCTTCTTCTTCTTTTTCTTTATTGGGTTTTTTACTGCTGATAACTGCCTTGTGTTGAAAGAAGCACTGTTGTTATGTTGGTAGCTTTTAATTACTATTAGCAACATTCTTCAAATTCGTTATAACCAACACATGCACTGGAAATCTGGAAGGTTGTTCAGCCTGGATATGATGTGGCTGTAGTGGTGGAGGTAGGATTTTCACCAAAGAAATTCAAAAAATAAAAAAAGGTAAACATGCGAAGAAGCCAACGGGATTTAACATCTAATATATATACAAAAAAAATGACCTTATATACACAATTTAATTTCCGGCGAAAGGGGTTTGGCTACCCCCTTCTGCCCTCCCTTGGCTCCACCCCTATGTGTCTGGTTGATGAATCGATAGTTTGAGATGTTGGGACAGCAGAACCCACCGTTGGTGAGAGGATTACTGTTTGACTAGGCAGTAAGGTGTAGTAAGCGGGAGAACAATTCATCTAATATGGGAATACTTGAACTAACTAAAATCTGGTCTCGCACTTCGTCAAGTTCACTGGGAAGCCCAACAAGTTTTGGAACTATGAACATCTTTTGTTGTTGTTCCAACTGTTTCTCATTATTAACAGTGATTGATATCAGCATATTGAGCTCCTCTATAACTTCTTAAACTTGTCCCAAGTAAGTAGACATGTCCATTTCCTGCTTTTTTAATAGTCTTTCGAGAAACCACATCACAAAAGCTAAGAAAATAACATTAGTGTATAACATACGGGCTTTTTCCAAACCAAATAACAAGTTTGGAATGGCCGAAACATGTCCATCAACATAGGATCAATAGAGTACCACAAATAACTATGAGCATCAATCATCCCCATGGTTGTTTCTTCTCACCAATCCCTATAGTTACACTTTACCATGTATTACTTTATACTTGATCAACTGAAAGTGAAAACAGCTTAGTACTAAACATATTTAAATATAGCAATTTAAGTTAGTAATTTGACTATAAGAGAAATTGCATCTTATGAATCTGTTTGTATTGCTCTGGCTAGGATGACATTGCTCCTGGGACCTCCTGGTTCTGGTAAAACTACGTTGCTTTTAGCGCTTTCAGGGAAGCTTGATAATGGCTTAAAGGTCGGTACTAGCCTATCTCTTGTTATGACTTTCAGATTTCATAATCAGTGTATTCCTTAATGGAAGTTGAGTTCTGTTGAAAAGATTCCTTGATGTTATAAGCTCTTTTACTCGTTTATACATCTTACATTCGAGATAGTTACTCTCAATGAGATGTATAAATCATATTCATCTCAGATTATCATCTTTTGAACATTAGTGGCTCCAAAACTGTAGTATAATTTTTAATTGACTTAATAACATACATCACTAAAATACTTTGTAACTTGGGGCTAAAAGGTAGGAGTTTTAGAGATTTGGCAAAAAGAACAAATAAGAACATGAGGTCCTTATTTTTCCATGCTTTGTTGAAAACTTATAGTATATATGAACTATCACTTATTGGAATGAAAATTTTACATTATGATAATCAGCTTGAAGTTATGATGTAAGTTAAAGCTGAAGCATGGTCCTCTTCATGTAGACTCTCAACTCTTTAATGCTTATTGTTCTTGGCTGTTTAGATCAAACCTTGGGTGCAGATACATTTTTTCTTGCAAAAGATTACAAGGGATTTTACCATGGCAATGTTTTACCCTCCCTTAATTTTGCTGGGGGCTTTGTGTGTGTGTGTT